AGCCTTCATTTCTCCCTGAACTGTACTAAGTAGAGCCCCTGTACCCACGCACATGACTGGGCAGCACGCACATAATATCTATGTATGAGGGCCTCACAAAGAAGGGGAAGGAGTAGTAGCCAAAAAAAAAAGCTTTGCACCAAGTAGGGGGCCCTTGATCTCCTATTGCCCGAGGGCCCTGTGAGTTGTCAGTCCGCCCCTGTGTATGTATGTGTATATATGTATGAATATATATATATATACATATATATATAAATAGATGTATACGCGGCGTGTGTGTTTCTGCTTTAGGGTGCACACCCTTATACAATAGGCTGCGCACGCCTATGATCTAGGGTATGGGTTACGTTGGCAGAGACAGATGAGGACTTTGTTGGGGGCAGGGCTTGCATTCAGTTCCCCATGGAACATTTTTTATTTCACCCAATCACAAATGATCACAGCACATTCAAAAACTGATCCCATACGTGGTTCCCACGTGATTTATTGACTGTGAATTAATAACTAAATAGCTACATATAGACAAAGATAGGCACAAATCAGCTAATTTATTCGGCCAGCTCTTTTGTCCTAAATTTGAAATTAGCTTGTCAGTCCACTATATTTTACTGGTTACTGAATAATTAAAGATTTTATTAGTGTAGTGACAGAAAAGATACATTTAATTAAAGACAAAAGTCTCATATTTTGCTCATTACTTTATTTTACTTTTAGCTTTTAAAGCCACCAATAAAACACTGTGAAAATCAACTTGAAAAAATATTTCACATGCTGACACAATACAATCAGACTCAAAACACAGGACTTGGTCACAACTAGGTAATAGGATAAATAGATGGACATATGCAATGATTCTTAAAGGTGGCTGTTCCTAACGTTAATATCGAGGTCAGCCAATTTCTGGGACAATAGAAAACAGCAATAAAGATTATACAATCGAGGGTGAATGCTTGCAGCAAGGAGAATAGTTGGATAGAAGCCAGAGTCAATAACTAGGAATCAAAACAAGAAATGAATGTGCTCTCGGATTTACCACAAGGAAAACCACAACAGGGCAAAGGTGGAACAGAGAGGATAGCTGAATAGCTCTAGAAACATTTAAAATGGTCTGTGTTACTCTAACTAGTGCTCGAGTGATATAGTAGAAATCACGCCAATGGGCATGTGTAAAATGATTCAGAGAGTCCCGGCTTCATAAAATGACACAGGCTCAAAGTATCCAGCGTCAAAGTTGTCTCCAGAATGTTGCTGGAATGAGGGGAAATGTAGACCCGTGTAAAAAATGGCACTGGAATGACTCTGGAATGGTGACAAGTGGCAGTGAATATGAACCCAGATTGATGTACCAATGTAACAGGTACTGCCACATTCTTAAAAGACGTCACACTCAAAGATATAAAACGGGCAAATCCTGGCTGTTGGGCTGAGCAGACGTGTTTGAGAAGAATAAATTACTGCACTCCTCTCCTTTCTTTACTCGATGCCAAAGGGGCCGCTACAGTGAAAACTCAACGCTGCATATCTGCCATCACCTGATGTGTCGCTGTCTTCATCAAACTGAGTAAAGGCTTCCCAACGCCTCGCAGGACACGTCCGGATGCCATCTTGGCAGCAGAAAATCGGCTGAAAAGTAAACATGTCACATGGATTTGTAAATATAGCGGGCTGTTTTATATGTGGTCCAGAAGCCACCCTTAATTAGTATGCGAGCCCAACAACTGAGATTTTGCTAAAGCAGTGATAAAGCTTATTGTATTTGTGATATGAGAGCCTAATGTTAATAGGCCTAGTGTGAAATTGTAAGCAACGCTATCTCCTAAGTTCCTAACCACTAAACTGTTGTTTAATTACTGAAAGGGTAAATTGTCTGGATAGAAAGCATCAGTGGTATATTTTGTTTAAAATATTTTGTAGTGTTGTAGTATGCATTGTTTGCTAATCTTTATAAGTTTACAAGTGTAATGCCTGTTTTCAGTCATAGTTTAAATTGCAAGTTTGAGCCAACACTCCAAAATTGAGAGCAGACACATACATGTGAAAGGCAAAGGCACACTAGCACAAAATCTTGTCACCTGCTGAAGAAACAGACAAACCCACAGAAATACAACATGTGCAGTCTAGCTCCAGAGAGCAAAGCTTAACAGAAAAAGGACAAGAAATGCACAAAGAAACAGCTTAGAAAAATGAAAAGGCATTTAACAAGGCGTATGACTCTTGGAAGGAGCTAGCAAAAGAAATTAGGACGAGGTCAAAGACTTTCTGCTCAACTGAAGACCTTGATCCAAGCCTGAAGCAGATCAAAGTCAAAGAAGTGTTAGTATATCAACAGTATGAGTCCATTTGCTGTAATGATTCCACTAACCCAGATGTTGTTAAGAAAATGGATGCATGTGTCGCTTTAACAGCTGAAATCTGCTACCTCACCAGTAAATGGCTAGAGAATATAGACGGAATCTTTAATGATCGACTTGAGAAGCAAAGAGTGAGGATGGTACTTAATAAAGAGGAGTACAAGTCAGTCTTTGGAACTGAACAGAAACAGAAACTGCCCTCTCAGAGTCATTACCAGACTCTAACTCTAGCTCGGGAGCCACTTTCAGATCTTCTAGCAAACGCACAGATGTAGAAGCCAACCTTGCAGCCAAGATAGCGCAGGCAAAGATAATGCAACAGATGCGTGAGCAACAAGCTAAGCTGAACAAACTGGAGAGTGAATTAAAGCTTAAAAAGGCATAAATTAAACTGAAGTTGGATGAGGAAAAGACAAAGTTACAACAGTTACAAGCAGAAAATGAAGTCAAGGTAGCAGCGGCACGAGTGAAAGCTTACAATGCCTATGATGGTCTTGAAAATTGTGAGCAGAAGACAGACCACAAGGTGCAATACATCTGCCAAAAAAATGAACCTCAAACCTCATCTAATCCACAAGCTGTGCCATTTCAACCTCTCAAATACACCACTTGAGGCATCAAGACCACAAGAAGAGATTAGCCTAACTCCAGGTCTTGCAAGTCTGCTCATCTCCAACCGTCATCCTGAACAAACTGTATTTACAGGTTATCCTTTAAAGTTCATAGATTGGAAGATATCCTTCATGGCACTGATTGATCAGAAACCACTCCTTGTGTGTGAAATTAATGCTGTACTTGAAGAGGTATCTCGGTGGTGAAGCTCGTAAGGCAGTGGAAGGTTTCTTCTATTGAAATTTAGAAGACTCTTATCTAGGTGCTTGAGGAATCCTACAGGAAAGGTATGGAGGTTCATTCGATGTCCAAAGAGCTTTCAGAGAAAGGCTAACTAAATGGCTGAATATCTCAACAAATGATCCTATAGCATTAAGAGAGTTTGCAGATTTCCTTCAAGGTTGTGTCAAGGCCATTCCTCATGTTAAGGGCCTAGCTATTTGTGAAGGTACACCTGGCACCCCAACTGGTACCTCCATCAATCGATGCTTCCTAGTACTTGTGAGCACCATAAGCACTGTACTGGAACACCATAACCACCGTAAACCCCATGAACCGCTGCAGCTTGTTTGGGGTCTCGCTGTCCTCCACCCACCCTGGACCCAAGACCAGGATCCAGCTTCCAGTGGGTAGGCCTCTCCTAGTCCAGAGAGCCTAGCAGGAACAGCTCTTATAAGTGATTATACTCAGGGGAGTATTGTGATATAGCATATTGAATGTAGTTCTCCAATCCCCCAAACATGAGCCAAGATTTCATGAAGTAGTAAATGAATCTTAGTTTATTGGGACCCACACTTGGCCTTATATGACAATCCCCATGCAAGGGGTATGCCCACATGGACCTTTTGGGGAACTGAGTTACAATATTCACAGGCCAGTAAGAACAGTATTCCAATGCAAGACACTCCCACACATAGAATACAATCCCTCCCCACTGCCTGGGAGATAATTGAGTGAGGTACTGTATTAACCCAATTATCTCCAGGCAGAAAAAACACATTTCTATAAAGTCCCAAAAGTACCCCAAAACACATAATATCCCCACAAATGTTACATCCCCTGGTAGCCCTGATCTGGGTGACCAACATATCCAAAAATCACAGAGATCAGTTCAGGGGTTCAGAAATTCTTTGGAAGTCATTTATTTGACCGACCTCAGGCATGGTCCCATGCCAAAAACAGTTCCAGAGAATCAGGGCTTGCTTGGTCTAGTTCAGTAGTTTGAAAATGAACAAACTACCGAACAGAGACAATAGTCTTACCCTGGAACTTGTTCCCCTCATCTAGACGAATGATCTCACTGAACAGTACCCTTGTAAGTTGAATAGAATCGAATGCAGGCAATGATGGAAGTCCAGCGGTGTACGGGAGTTTCTGTATCCGATTTTAGTTCCATGAGTTTCATGCCCAAACACCGCTGCCTTCGTTAATGCGAACAAGATGGTCGCCACCTTGTGGCAGTCCATAGCAATTACGGCCACCCAGGCGTGTGGTAAGAAGCGTTCCAAGTTGTTAATAGGTGTTAACAAGCTCCAGGGTAGTCTCTGGTTCGTGCGGTTGTTCGGTAATTCAAAGTGCCACTTTGAAAGTTCGAAGTGTGGCCATACCAGTCCAAAAAAGCCCACACAGTGGTTTTAATCAGGGTTTAACACAGGGCCCATAGTCATAGGGTAGGAGGCTGGTAAACAGGCCCCTCCAAAAGCCAGTGGCGAGGTTACTTTCGTCACACTATTCTAAATGATTGTGAAGAAAGTCACAAGCTTCTCAAGAAACTGCTTGAATGGATCGTGTGCAGATGGAGTCGCATTGTTGTGGATGAGTTAGATAAGTTAGAAGAATATCCAACTTTTGCTTGTTTCACAGAGTTCCTGCAAAAAGAAGCTACGATAGGATGCAACCTCATTGCCTCTCCCTTTCTTCTCAACACTAAAACTATAGATGAGAGACTTCCCAAGAGAGCCAAGGCGCTCAACACGAACACTGAAATGAAACTCTCTACTTGCCTAGTCTGCAAGGATGAAACACACGGTATCACTAAATGTCTAACTTTTGCAGCAAAGATCATCGATGAATAGAAGGCCTTCATTTATGAAAACCATCTTTGCTTCGGTTTCTTAAGAAAAGGCCACACTACCAAAAACTGCAAAGGAAGACACACGTGTAGTATATGTAGTCGACGTTATCCAACCTGTTTGCACATACAGAGAAACACAGAACCTGTTAAAACACAAAGCAATGATCCAGTAGCCACGGGAAATAAGGCAAATGATAACCTTCCCAAAGTTATGTCCCATAAATTGACAAGGCATTCTTTTGCTACATCTTGCATTGTTCCAGTCCTGTTGTCAGCTGCAGCGAAGCCTCAGAGAGAAATCCTCATTTATGCCTTACTTAACACACAGAGTGATTCAACCTTTATTTTGGCAGACCTAGTATCAAAGCTAATTGTGAGCACCCAACCGCTACAACCCAAACTCAGCACAATGACAGTTGTCGACACAGTCATATCAATCCAAATTGCTCACGGCCTGCAAGTGCATGGCTTCAACTCTAAAGCTCAAATCCAACTCCGTCAAGCCTACACGAGAGATTTCATCCTAGGAGATAAGTCTCACATCCCCACTAAGGAGACTGCTCTCCAGTGGTCACACCTCAAGCACTTGGCAAACAAGATACAGCCACTTCAAGACTGCGAAGTCGGACTGTTGATTGGGTACAACTGCCCATCAGCACTAGCCCCCTTAGAAGTCGTTAGTGGCTCTGAAAATGAACCCTTCGCTCAAAGAACATTGCTCGGCTGGAGCATTATAGGGTCAGCAAATCCACATCTTGATAGACAAGGTAGTCTATCTAAATGCCAATGCCCCTGGTCACTTATGTGTTAAAGGCTTTAGAAATGGACTTCATTAAAAGAAATTATGAGGACAAGTACGTGTCTCAAGATGACGTTCACTTTGTGCAGTTTCTCTCTGAAACCATAATGAAAAGGAAAGATGGACACTATGAGATGCCATTACCCTTCAAAGATAACAGTCAACTGGTACTACCCAACAATGAGAGGCTGGCCACTATTCAACATCTAAAGAAAAGGTTAAAGGCCAACAAGCAGTACCATGAGCACTACACTGCATTCATGGAAGAAACGATCAGAAAGGGTGATGCAGAAGCAGCCCCTTCATTGTCGGAAGGACAAACAGTGTGGTACATTCTACATCACGGGCATTATCACCCTAAGAAGCCAGACAAGCTAAGAGTCATCTTTGATTGTTCAGCAAAGTTCCAAGGCGTCTCCCTAAACGATACTTTACTGACCTGATAAATTCCTTTCTTTACTCGATGCCAAAGGGGCCGCTACAATATATATATACATATATATATGTATATATATATATAAGCTCAATAAATACATATATATTTTTTTAAAGGTATATATGTGTAATTTGATTCTAACTGTATTTTGATATCAATATATATATAAATATAAATATATACAGATATCAAAAAACACTTTGAATGAAATTATATACACATATCTATCTATATATCTATATACAGATCCAATATAAATATTGGACAGGCAGGCTAAACTGTACCCATGTGGCTCCTCCACAATCCAGATGGGAAAGCCTCCCAGTAAAGTTAACTGGTACAAGAGAAAAAAAAAGATAAGCACAATTAATAATCCTATAAGCAAAATTATATACAAGATCATAAATGAGGACTTGACACAAATTTCTTATTAAGTCCCTTAGGCCATAGGGTGTCCAATGTATGGATCTAATAGGCCTCCCTCATTTTCAGTAGCCCCTTTCTCCATCACTCTGAGAGGTGGTACATGGTCTATGACCTGAAAATGCAATTGTGACACACTATGGTTATGATCAAAAATGTGGGCACTACCGGGAGTTCAGTTTGTCTAGTCCTGATGGTAGACCTATGTTTGTTTAGTCTCTCATGAATTGTCATTGTGGTCTGCTCAACATAGAGAAGATCACAAGTACACTTCAGAACATAAAAAACATAAGTGGACTCACAAATGAAAAAGCCCTTGACCTTAAAATCGACCTGTGTGGGGATGTCTCGACTTGGATTTTGGTGGTTCCATGTGGGTACAGTTCAGTCTGCCTATTCAATATTTATATTTGATTTCAGATTGTATGCAATTGGCAGGGTATATAGTTTATTTCAGCCTGTATAGTTTAATACATGAATCTATTGCACATGCATGGACTGAGGTATAAGTATGCTAAATATAAGTTTGTGCAACAAAAATAGCTTATATGTTTTGTGTTTTAAGTATCAACCACTTTGTGCTGTTTGAATACTCCATGACATTTTTTTCTAATACTTTTTTTTAATCCTTTAACATTCCATTTCAGATTTTCCATTGTTTTACTACATTAATTGGGCACTATGTGACTAATTAATTTATGACCATATATGTACACTTGATTTATACATTTTCTATGCACGATTAAGGCTCATGGGTGCCGAAACGTTGCATTGTTTGGTGGTGTTGCTTACCCTTAAATGAACTTACACCATCGGAATCTCGGAGTGTAGCCTGTGTTCTCTATTTTCCCATGCAATATATCAACCCACATTTACTGTATTACATCAAATGAACACAGAATAAGACAAAGAATAGCTTGTTTCCCTCAGAGAGTTTTTCTTTTACCTGCCGTTATAAATATAAAATATAATGTATTCATTTTATTCTATGTGATATAGTTCACTAGAGGAGGCATAAAAAAACAAAACAAAAAAAAAACTTTGAATAATAGAGTTATTAATAGACTTGTGCATGGAGGAAATATTTGTTTCGGCAGAATCACTTCATCCAAAAATAAAATGTATTTCAGGTAGTCTGATAGTTGGGCACGTGCCAGTTCAGCTTGTCTATGCAAAAATATTTGGGAATACGATTCGGGTGAACCAAAAAGATGCAAAAATGGGTCCATCACTGTACTGCTAAATATACACATAATTGAAGTGTTGTGTATATATTTTGCAACACACTGACAGGTAAATTTCCCCACCATTTGGTTCACAGCTCAAAAGAAAATGTAACCAATAAAGGGGAAATATAGAGTATAACATATAAACAAAGTTTTTTTGTTTTACTGCTCCTCCTTTTTTCCCCATCTATTGGACACTTCTCACTTGATCTGTGAATAAAATCAACATTTCCTTTTTTCCACTCATCAATTATCTCTTTTTTAGGTACCACAAACTGAACTCCAACACACAACATGCACATCTATTGCACAAGTCATTTGTTCAGTTACACTTCCATAAATGTCACATTTTGGATGACTCGTAAATTAGGATGAACTGCAATTCCACCTAAAATTATTATCAAAGTCTTATTTATTATTTTTATCATTTCAAATGAATAGCATGGCAAAAAGGTCTAGAAGTGGAACACAATAGAAGAAGCAATATGTTTGGAACCATGATAAGATGGGTGGTCTCCTTTACAAACACATAAATAAGATCACAATGCAATACAACGTTGGTCACTAATTCAATTCCATTTTTCACTAATTCCATTGTTCTATTTATTGGAAAAAATGCTTATTAGAGTCACTGCCAAATTTGCTCAGCCTTGAATGCGTAGAATCTTTTTTGAAAGGGGTCTCTATCACATGTCCTAGAATTTAGCCTAAAATTAAAGCAACTTCAAGAGACTTTTGGTCACAACTAGAAAAATTGCAGAGACGAGCTACAAAATTGATAAAAGGAATGGAGAATTTTAGTTATGAAGAAAGGTTAAAAAATATAAATCTCTTTAGTTTGGAAAAACGGTGCCTGAGAGGGGATATGATAATATTATTCAAATATATTCGGGGCCAGTACAAACCATTGTGTGGAAATCTATTCATAAACTTGGCTATACATAGGACACGAGGTCGCACATTTAGGCTGGAAGAAAGGAGATTTCAAGAAAAGTTTTTTTTACAGTGAGAGCAATAAGGATATGGAATTCTCTGCCTGAAGAGGTGGTTTTATCAGAGTCTATACAGATGTTTAAACTGCAATTTGATAAATACTTGCAAAAACATAACATACAGGGATATAATTTCTAATTAGTGGGGTAATAGCTGCTTGATCCAAGGAGATATCTGCCTGCTATTTTGGGTTCAAGAAGGAATTTTTTCCTAGTTTGTTGCAAAATTGGAAGAGCTTCAGACTAGGTATTTTTTGCCTTCTTTTGGATCAACAGCAAAAACATATGTCAGCAAGTCTCTTTTCAGCTATGTAACTATGTAACAATTTGTCAGCTGTTTCCTAAAGAATACTAAAACAACAGAGTGAGACCCAGCCTTGGTAAAAGACAAACAAACAATATCACGTGATGCATACAACATCTTCTCCAGATTACGAACACAAACCAGTTCAATATGGAGGCATGGGACGGGGCCTGGCTGCTGAGCTGAGCGGACGCAGGCAACATCAGCTCCTGCCACAAACGAGACATTAAACTACATTTACCCGCACAGCCACCTCAACTAGACTCCCACGAGCTGACATTCGACAGATGAGCTTGAGACCATCATAATGATGCCACACAAGTGGAAATCCCATTCAGTACCGCTCGGCCATCACATGCGGCCTACACGCACGGCCGCCCTGGGGTAGACGGCCGCTCTCCCGCCACCACCACACTCGGCTGACAATCTGCAGGGTTCACGTTTCCCCCCCTATGGACCGGTGGGGGATATCCCGGTCCACACCGACCTGGCTTACAAAATGCCACACACATCGATGAACCCAAGGAATAGGCCCTCCCCGGGCGCTGCTACACAGCGTATACCCAACAGCGCGAGCCCATCTTGGCCAACGGTTGTGAGGCTAACCCCACCACAGTCACAGGCCGCAACGCCAACACCAGGCTCCTCCGTAGCGCCTGCAGAGGAAAATACCCGGCCTCCCAGGGCACCCGAGTCTGTGGTCTAAAGGTGCCGACCGTCAACAAGGCCTGGAGCGGGGGAGGGACCCCCCGCCACACGTACACCCGTCCTGCTTACCGGTACCCCCAGGTGCCGCCACCCAGGATGCCCAGCAGAGGTATCGGCTGACTCCGACGATCCACTGTTCTGCCACACTCCCCGTTCCCACACTCCACCGTCTGCCGCTGCTGCACAGAAGACCCGATAATGGAGAAACATTACACCTCAAACTTACAGCCGGCGGACATTTCAAGCATTTGAACTTGGACTTACCCTCACATGTGGGTCGCTGGACTGCCAAACTAATGGACCTAAAAGCAATGTGTAAGCTATCTTCCTGTCCCCCACCTATGTTCACATTAATGGCATCTGGCGAGCCTCAATATACCTAGTCTAGCCACTGCACAGGGCTGCTATATAGGGGAGGGAGAAAATCAGTCACTATATCAACCTACATGGTTAGCATTTAACTGTTTATCCTGAGTAATACTACATAGTTTAAACATGCATATC